CAGTCAAGTATCAATCTGAAGAATTTTTGGAGAATTTCAGTGAGTATTGGTGAAAGTGAAATCACTCATAGCTAAAGTGTTTAAGGAGGCCACTAGACATAGATATGGAAACGCGTAAAACCAGTTCAACATCTGCTTTTGAACAGTTGCCAGAACCACTTCCACATCCACACCCTCAAGCTAAACAGGAAGAAACACTTGAGGACACTTTTTATGCCCCTAGTCCGAACGATACCAATGTTGACCTGGGTTTTGCTCAACCACACTTGTGTGCATTTTGCAGCATTCTCTTTTTCCTCCTCTATTCGTGCAGTGTAAGGTGTGGCAGGTTTGCAGTTCTGCGAACTGTCATTGAAAATTGAGCAGAAGTCGAGATGCTCTTCATCACAGCACTCGCCTGATATGTAAGTACTTTTGAGTGCCTATGTGTACTCTTCTCTATTTGTACTAGCCAGTTCATTGCAGTTTTTTGAAATCGTTTCAAGTTCTACACTGCACTCTGCAAAGTCACTTTAGCGAACCTCTTATCCAACAGCTTTTTAGATGAAAATCCGTTTTTTGATAACTTAATCTACACGGGAAATGCTCTTTGGCCGTTTGAAAGAGGAAGGACTTTTTCAAAAAAGGAAATCTGCGCATGAAAAACCTGGTTTTCAATCATGGGGGGAACCGTGAGAGCAAAGTACTTGTGAGGTTAGACATTTCACAGTTTTTGCTCATGAACTCATTGGAAGAGGTACACATGTTAAAGGTAAAATTTGATTATTTATGCATTAAAACTGGCTTTTCTACAAAAAATCTTTTTTAAAAGGTGAGTTATAAAGCCAAGCAGAGCATCATGTCTTAATGAAATACACTACATATATCACCTTTTAAATATAATAAAGTTAAATATAAAAAGATTTTCCGAAGAGGAAAAATCCTCAAAACCTGTTTTTGTTATGAGTCTTTCCGCGTATTATGTCCGGGCATTGTTGCTGCCGTTTTCGAGTGGTCAGTGGATATCGAGGCCCCTTTTGGCTTATGTAAACTTTTCAAATTATTGTTTGGCTCTCTTCTTTTGCTCTTCAAAAAGAACAGATCCTACCTT